TTGAATGCCTTGAGATTATTATACAATTATATTTATTAATATTACAGTTTAAATGAAATAATATATTTTAATTTCATTAAATTATACACAATAAACATTTATTATATTTACTTATCATTATTATAATCTACAATTATTATAATAAATAGGGAAAACATAATTCATTTTAATTAAAGTATGACTTGGATAATATGAATTATATATGACTTCGTATGAAACGTACAATAATACATAAATTGTATGAAAAGTAGTGATTGAAATATTGGAGCCGGCTCTTACACAGCTCCGGCTCTGGTGTTTCTATGCTAATTTGCATGTTTGTATTACAAAAATAATAGTTTTTTATTACAAATCAATCATTAAGTGTTAGGTTAGTTAATATGTTATGCCACACTATTGAAATGCAATGATATTGTTTTAGTGTATTGCATGTATTTATTGCATTACTCTTGCACAGGCTCCGACACGGCTTTGAACCGGCTCCGGCTCTTAATATTATTGTAAATTTTTAACCATTAGTTATGCATAACATGTGTGAAAATATCATTATCCATGTTTTTGTCAAGCTAATTAAATATAATTATAAAAACATTATATGTGTTTATTTCAAACGTATTTCAATCATTGTAATTAAATTTTTAATAAATGTCCTTGGTACCTGATTAAACAGTTCTAAACACCAATTAATGAAAGTATTATAAAATAACATCATAATGTAATTGATATTAAATTAATATTAAAAGCATTGCAAAAATTCACTAACAAAATCGTTTTAAAACATTTATTTGATTTTAAATTTAATTATTGAAATTAATTGACATTTAATTTGTATTAAAGACAACGATATGGCGGACAACGGATTAAATGATAGATTAGTTAAAGCCGAGAAAACCAATGATTTTTTCCCAGAAATGGATTATTTTATGAATGAATCCTAAAGTGATGTTATATTTATAATCGATGGCCAAAAAGTGCCCGCATTGAGACACGTATTAATGGTGGGAAGCGTTTACTTTGAGGCCATGTTTTCGGGAAGTTTTACCGATACAGTCAAACAGGAGATTGAGATCAAAGACACTAATTATGAGGCGTTCAAAGCCATGGTTTGGTACTTATATTCACGTGATTTGTCGTTCAAAGATAATAATGGCATTGATTGCAATCTCGTGACCGATGTCTGCAAACTGGCCGACGCTTACGGTTTGCCATGACTTATGGATCTGATTGTCAAATATCTAATTAAATGTCTTTCATGTACAAATATTATCCATCAATCAATTGATTACTTGCCGTTTATATCGAAAATTGCATTCAATTATAATATGGAAGAACTGAAAACAATTGTGAAACAATTCATTGATCGCTTTTACGACAGGATTACCAATAAAGACATGGATTACATAAAAGTGATCAATGCATACACTAATGACTATTTATTGGGAAAATTAGTAGCAGGTGTTCGCAAACCTTCGTCGAGTGGGCGATATTAGTTTCAATATCTAGTTTATGAATTTAGTTATCAATGAAATAATAATTGTGAATAATTTTTGTATTAATTCTATAAAACCCATTAATTCCATGTTTAATTACCAATTATCACAATCACATACGTTTTGATTGCGAATTTATATTCAAACTAATAAAATATAATAATAAATCAATTGTATTTCTTTTAGTTATTTAATACACTTTTGTTTAAAATATTACATAGTAAAGGCGTAATCGTTTTCAAAATATCAGGAAATGGTAAGTAGAAAGTGTACATGCAAAATTTATTACATTATAATATTTTTACATAATTTTCACTAGGAAATATATAATTTAAATAAATTAATATAATGTTGGGCAAAACGAACAATTTTAAAAATATTTTTAATCATTTAATATCTCTTTGAGAAACCCATATACAAAATATGACAATATTTTATAGACAATTTATTATCCATTATCAACAAGAAATCACATTGTTAATTAAATTTTAAGTAATCGTCTGAATGCTTGGAACAAATCATTGTTATAGAGACCATAGATTATGGGATTAAGCATTGAATTAATATAAATTGACCATAAACACAAATGCCAATTAGCCAATGAACTAAAGTTAACTTGTTTCCAATCCATCATAAACCGGTTTAACATATACGGCACTATACATATGGTAAACACCAACGTAACCATTACGGACCGTTTGGCCACCTGAAACTCACGGCTCAGCGCCCGATCGTTTTTCAGTTTACTAACAGTTTGATCTTGGTTTGGGTTATTATAAATATAGTTGTAAAACACACGGGATTTCTGTATAATTAAGTTATGATATAATTATGTTGTATAATAATAATGTATTAATATGTATACTGTACAATTAATTACCTTGTAAATGCAGTAATAAATCAAATAGATTACAACAATCAACATCATGCCGAAGGCAGTGGAGTGGTTAACCCAATCATCTAGATCATCGTCCCACATGCATATGTGACCGCTTATATATTTTGGAATTAGTAGTTTACTATTGCGGTGAGTGTACAGTATCTGCACGCCCTGTGCCACCGATAGGGTCCACGAAATGCCAATCATTATCAGCGCCGACCTTAAGCCCCTGTTCTGCGAGTACTCGACCCACGAGATCGTCAAATACCTGTCGATGGCTATGAAGAAGATGTGGAGGAATGATGCGGTGCCTCAGACATACGTTATAAACTGTTGTACGTTACACACGGCTAACCCCATGTGCCACTCGTTCAGCTGTACCACTTTGTGATATGCGGTCACCGGCATAGACCACACGCCCACCACCAGGTCAGTGATGCTGAGCGATAGGATCAGGTAATTGGATCTGATCTGCAGTTTGGGTGTTGTGGTGACGGCCGTAATGACCAACAAATTGCCGCCAATTGTGGTAAATATTATGGCAAACAATAGTATCGATGATAAGAGTTGTACGAAATACAGCTCATTGGCGGATACCTCACCGGAATCCATGTCTATGTTATCGTTGGTCTCTTTATTAGTGTGTTTTAATGTTTATTACATTATATGTTAAACTGGTATTCAATGAATATATAATGTAAGCTACTTCCACTGGATATTACAATGAATAAATTTACATGTATAATTCTAAGTACAACAAACAAATCCTGGTGATTGAAAAGTGGAACAGGGAGAGAGAGAGAGAGAGATTCAGCGCTAATTTTTAAAAATATAATTCACCAATAATTTTAATGACACAGTTGTGCGAGATTGTACAATCAAGAAACGATCCATGTGCGATGAGTATACTCTAGTAAAATCATCAGTATTTTTAAATTTTTAAATTCTACAGATTAATTATCTAATAAAAAATATTATATAAAAATCAGCTAGTTTATTAATGTGAGAAAAATATTTATAATCTCAAATTGTTAATTCATATGTATATTTTATAAAAATGCAAATTATTAACAAAACTACACTAAAGTTGTATTAAAGTACTCGCCCAATCAATTTATAATAATGTATAAAATCACAAGGTGTTATATATTAAAAATATAATACTGTATTTATTCACTGAAATAATAATGTTACTGTTAAACCTTGGATCTTAGACCTGGTCGGGACCGGGGAAATTACTCTAAGATAGAAGGATTCTAAGATAGCAAAATCTAATATAGAAGGGCAAAAATGGCTGGTATTCTAAGATAGAAGGAAAAATCTAAGATAGAAGGGTAAAAATCGCTGAAATTCTAAGATAGAAGGATAAATCTAAGATAAGAGGGAAAAATTGTCTGAAATTCTAAGATTAAAGGGAGGGTTTCAGATAGAGAATACAAATAAATGACGTTATTTTTGTCAATTTTGGTAACTCTAAGATAAGAGGCACATACGGACCTATTGGGTCCCAGACAATGACTCTAAAGTCTAAGATAGAAGGTCTAAAGTTGCACTGTATATCTAATTAACATTACAATTATCTAATAATACTGTATTTGGAAATAAATCAAAGGCAGACATATTTAGTCTCAAGTTTTCAGTGTAATCGGCGAACAGTTGTTTGACATTTATATTCATTTGTAAGTGTTTTTAAATAAATATTTTGATGAAATATTTATTGCATTTTTACCACAATTCAGATATGAATGTTGTTTATAGGATCATGGACAAATAAATAAATGTGTCGTCAAATTCATTGAAATAAAAAATAATGTCTATTTTATGTCATAAATTAAATAACTATTAAAATTAAAAATTTATTATAAATGTATTCATATAAACATTATATGTAAAGTCAGTGGTACTATAAAATAGAAAACTACAAAACATTTAAACATGATAATTAAAAATATTGTTTAAAACTTAAGTATAATTAAATATGTGATTAAAATTGTTTCAATATAATATAGATACTGTTAAACCTTGGATCTTAGACCTGGTCGGGACCGGGGAAATGACTCTAAGATAGAAGGATTCTAAGAGCAAAATCTAATATAAAGGGCAAAAATGGCTGATATTCTAAGATAGAAGAGTAAAAATCGCTGAAATTCTAAGATAGAAGGATAAATCTAAGATAAAAGAGAAAAACTGTCTGAAATTCTAAGATTAAAGGGAAATTTCAGATAGAGAATACAAATAAATGACATTATTTTTGTCAATTTTGGTAACTCTAAGATAAGAGGCACATACGGACCTATTGGGTCCCAAATAATGACTCTAAAGTCTAAGATAGAAGGTCTAAGATATGAGGGAATTTAACATTAGGCTTCTATGGAGTGAATCGGGACCAAGAGTTTGACTCTAAGATAGGCAAAAATCTAAGATCGAAGGATCTAAGTTACGAAGTTTAACAGTATATGATATGCTATATTTTGTTTATTTTAAGAGTTGCATTAAAACATACAATGTAAATAACACAGTGAATTCATGGTGTAAGGTATACAGTAATGTACAGTCAATCCAAAGTTCAGTCTTGTAATCCTAAACCAAATCCAATTTTTATTTCACTAATATTGATGTGAAACCCAAAAATGTTTAGTTATTTCATTTGTTAGACTTTCGTTTATAACAAATATATTTTTACTGAAATACGTATCAATTATTTTTTGATTTGATTAATAAACTGTTTAATCAAAAACAAGTTAATAAATGCCTGGATATGCTTGCAATCGGTTCCCCGACCTGTCGGCCGAAGATCGGGACGAATACACGTGTAGTATATGTCAGCAGATATTTGACTGTCCGGTGACCACAACCTGTTGTCTACAGACCTTTTGCGAGGATTGTATTAATGATTGGCTTCAAAAGAACACTACCTGTCCATATGATAGGAAATCTTTGACCAAGGCTGATTTGACACGGGCATCAAGGTTAGTTTAATTAATTGTTCAAGTTATATTAACTTTACAAAACATCATTTAATTTAATACTTATCTTATAATTATTATGGATTTTTAATATTATATTCTAAACTATAAAACAATTTATTAAATATTAGGATAATTGTCAACACCTTGGGGCGATTTAAGATACGGTGCGACTATTGGGACTTAGGGTGCCGTGAAGTGATTAAATTGGAAGCACTACCACATCATACACTCAACTGTCGCTATAAAGACACAAAATGTCTTAAATGTCAATGCGTTCAACAATCGGGACACGACTGTATCGATACGTTGCGGGCAGAGATCGAGGCATTAAAAATAACTAAAAATGACAAAGCTGATAATAGTTGTAGTACTAGTGGTTGCAGTAGTAATGATCAATCAGTATTATCTGATAACCAGATACTGGACGAGTGTAGGCGACACGTGTCTGCGCCGGAAGTGTTGAACACCGGTATGAAAGCCTATATGGCCGACAAAACACTGGCCATAATTAGCGAACAGTTGGCCAAACAAAACAGCCTATACCTGGTGTGTAAGCATGTGGTCGAACACATGGAGCTCGAGTTTGGCACCGATTGGCACTGTATGACCGACTCGGGCCGCAATAGTGTCGGCTATTATAGAGCTGTCGGTAATCGCCATATGAAGGTCAAATTCACCCCGGTCACGTTCGACGTGTTTTATAGCGAAAGGGTACATTTTTTTATGTAAAACTTATTATTATAGTGGCATGATTTTTTAATGTTATGTTAAATGTAAATCTTTTTTTTTATCATGTATGAATACAATGTATTAATTATTGTACACAGCTGGATTGGACAGTATATAAGGCCCGATTCAAGCATAACAAAATTTGCCGCATATTAAACAGACGTAGATATTGTGAAAGAGATATGAATGAACCGATGGTATCAGTCTTGACGGACATTGTGTTTGAGGTGATGGGCCGGTACGACAGTATGAGAGACACGGCCGCCGCCATTGAGATCCGCATGTCGACTAAATACCCGGGTAGAAAGTGGCAGTGCTCTCTTGATGACAAATCAGTGACTATTTTCGACTATTCTGGGTATAGTAAGCGTGGCACTTATTTCGATGGTTACGTGGATCAGCTAGGTATTGTTATATATCAGGCCAAATCCAAGTGATCTGATTTATGTTTGTTATGAATACCTTTTGATTTTGAAATATTGTAGCAATTATTAATTATAAATTGTTAAATTTCTAATTTAATATGATAAATAATATAATGATTTAATAATAAATAACATCATATATAATGATAAATGATAAACTTATTAATTTTTTAAAATATTTTGCCTGTACCTAAAAAATTAAACTTGTGCATTTGTTATATTCATTTTTTTATTGCTATTAACTTAATAGTATTAAGCTTATTACTATATAAATATCAGGAAATGGTAAGTAGAAAGCGTACTGTACATGTACCATTTATTTACATTTAGCAATAATATATGCAAATAAATCAAACAAAACTTTGACAATTTGACATTTATTAAATAAAACATAATTAAACAGTAAAATAATACAATGAATTCCTGAGGTTGTCTTTTATTCCCGTCCCGTCCCGTCCCGTCCCGTCGTTTCGTCCCGTCGTTTTACAAAAAAAATCTTAAAGTTAAAGTATTACCGTTAATCAGTCGTTATGTATGCAGTGTCCCGTCGCTATGTATGCGGTGTCCCGTCGACCCAAATGCCGATCAGAACTGTCCCGTCGATGCGGTAAATGTTTTTCGATAAAAATTTGTTTTATAAATTGAATTTTATGTAGAATCTAACGCTGAATTCGAATATGAAATTAAAAATATTCTATCTCGAATATTTTTCGAGTTATTGAAATTTTAATATTTTAAAGTCGAATAACTCGAAATTTATCAGGCCTACTAAGAAATGAATTTCATAATCGTAATCGGCGTTAAAATTTACATTGATGTCATGTATAATATTTATAATTTATTTTAATTTAAAATTTTCGACGGGACACGACGGGACGGAACGGGACACGACGGGAAGATACGGGACGAGAATCAAAGTTTTTATCTTTATTTAAAATTTAACGCCGATTACGAATATGAAATCCATTTCTTAGTCGGCCTGATAGATTTCAAGTTATTCGACTTTAAAATATTACAATTTTAATAACTCGAAAAATATTCGAGATAGAATATTTTTAATTTCATATTCGAATTCAGCGTTAAATTCTACATAAAATTCAATTTATAAACCAAATTTTTATCGAAAAAACATTTACCGCATCGACGGGACAGTTCTGATCGGCATTTGGGTCGACGGGACACCGCATACATAGCGACGAGACACTGCATACATAACGACTGATTAACGGTAATACTTTAACTTTAAGATTTTTTTGTAAAACGACGGGACGGGACGACGGGACGGGACGGGACGGGACGGGAATAAAAGACAACCTCTGAATTCCTCTATGATAACCGCCGAGGAGTTGCTATTCGTTCAGTTCTTATCATCCATATTATTGTTTGTCATAATATTTATTACAATAATTGGCAATATATTTGTAATCACAGCAATCATCACAACACACAAACTACAGATCAGATCCAATTACCTGATCCTATCGCTCAGCATCACTGACCTAATGGTAGGCGCGCTGTCAATGCCGGTGTTCGCCTATCACGAAGTGGTACACCTGAACGACTGGCTTATGGGGTACGCCATGTGTCACATCCATAACTTTGTTACATACGTCCTGTCCATCGCCTCATTCCTCCACATCTTCTTCATAGCCATCGATAGGTATCTCTCGGTCTCGAGGGTTGACTACTCGCGGAACCGGAGCCTAAGGCCGGTGTGGGTTATGATTGCCATTTCGTGGACATTAGCGGTGGCCAAAGGGATGGGCCGATCGATCGGTCATATGGGAAGCGATATGATATATGTGGAGAGTATGGACGCACATCTATGTCTGTGGTCAGACGACCCGGATCATTGGGCCATTGGCACAGTCATCATAGCCATGATACTGTTCGTGATCATTTATTCGTTATATTATAAAATTTATCAGGTATGTAATAATTTACGTTTAAAAAGATTACATTAGTATATTACATATCTGAAGTGATTATTTATAATAGCATAACTTAAAATGTAGTATAGTTTAATTGATCAATTGCTTTAAAATGTCAATTAAATTTCTTGATAATTGCAAGTATGTTACATAATTAATTTTATATATAATAAATACGTTACTTTACAAAAATGTATAGAAATCACGGGAATTTCGCTACAAAACCGAAACTAATGTCAATCGCAGTACAGCTGGGATTCAACAGCAAAAGTCAACCGATCGGGCGCTAAGTCGAGAGTTTCAAGTGGCCATCCGATCGATTATAATAACCTTGGTGTTCACACTTTGTTTATTACCCTATTGTTACGTATATCTTACCATTAATAGGAATCAATTGGATAACCAATCAGTAGCTGTTATTCATCTATTTATTTGGTGTCTTTATATTAATTCAATGCTTAATCCAATAGTTTATTCCCTGTTTAATAGGGATTTTCAGTTTGCATTTAAACGTTTACTTAATTATTAACAAAAAATTTTTATAAACTACAACCAATAATTATATGTTGTAAATTAATTTTTAACTATAATTGAACTTCTTGACCAATTTTAATAAAATCAGTTGCATATTACAAACAAAGTTAGATTTAATAAAATACATAAATATATTTTTATATTTTAATTGACAAATGAATTATTATGTTAACAATAATGAAACATAATGTAAGCATAATGAAACAAACTTTTTATTTTACCTTCCGTACGTAATACAATTACTTTATAATAAAATAATTAATTAAAGAACTTTATTATGATTTATGTAAAAATTTTAATTTAATAATGTTAAATTAAATACTAGAAGCATCTTGTGTAACTATCGATAATTATATCAGTAACTATTGAAATATACACAAACTGTTTATATCACACTTTATAATTATTATTCTAATGCTAATTATTATTTAAATATATTTATTATAATAGAATTAATTTAAAATTGAAATACAATTATAATAATATGTAGTAACTCTAAATTGCACTGTATAAATAATAATTAAAATTTTGGAAACAAACTTGCTAAATAATCTACAATCGTTTATTTTTAACAATCGTTTTAATGTTAAACAAGGTATGAATTATGAAATTTATATGAATACATGGTTAAAACAAAACAATGGCCGGCCATGGGATCAGCATTAGGTGATTGGATCGGGTCTTCAGTTTGTGTGTAGCGATGATCGATATGACAGCCAAAAGGTAGCCAATAATTGACACAAATATTATGGTAAACAATATTATTGATGATAAAACATTTATAAAATACATATCTTCGCCGTATATGACACAGGAATTTATTGTATTATTGACTGCCATTTTAATCATGTTGTTTAATACTAACATAGAATGCTGTTATGTTTTAGTATGTAAATGTATAATGTATTGTACATGTAAATTCATTTCCCGGTAAATTATGCTTGTTTCTTTATTATCCATTTTAATAATATTATTTAATTAAACATTTAATAAAACTTTTAAAGAATTATATTATTGATATAGTGTTGAGCAAAATGAGTAATTTTTAATTAATTTAAAAATAACTTCATCTATCTATGAGAAACTCACATAAACACATAGTAACTTTATTTTGAAATTAATTATCAAATGTATTAAATTGTAAAGCAAGATCAATTTATTTCATATTGCAAACTTTTAAAACTTATAAATTATAAGTTATAATAAATTATGTTACAGACATAACATTGCATTTTATTACAACTTGTTAAACTTTAAGACCTACTAACAAGTAAGTAAGCGTCTAAATGCTTGGTAAAAATCATTGTTATACAGCCCATAGATAATGGGATTAAGCATTGAATTAATATATATTGACCACAAACACAAATGAAAATTAACCAACGATCTATAGTGAATGTGTTTCCAATCAATGGTAAACCTGATGATCATATACGGCACAATACATATGGTAAACGCCAGGGTAACCATTACGGACCGTTTGGCCACCAGAAACTCCCGGGTCAGCGCCCGATTGTTTTTAAGTTCAATTGAAGTTTTACGTCGGTTTCGGTTATTATAAATATTGTTACGAAATTCGCGTGATTTCTATATAATTAAGTTGTAATAATATTAGTATATTGTTATTCTTATCATGTGTTTTAATATGTATACTTTATATTTTTAAGCAAATTCATAATAGATGGTTTTGAAATATGATAAATTACCTTATAAATGCCATAATAAACCATATAAATTACAATGATCAATATTATGCCTGCGGAATTTGTATGACCGACCCAATCATTTAGCTCATCGTCCCACATGCAAATAGGAGCGTTAATATTTTTGGCAACTAATAACCCACTATTACGGTGAGTGTACAGTATTTGCACGCCCTGTGCCACCGACACCGTCCACGAAATGCCAATCATTATCAGCGCCGGTCTTAAGCCCCGGTTCTGCGAGTACTCGACCCACGAGATCGTTAAATATCTATCAATGGCTATGAAAAAGATGTGGAGGAATGAAGCGGTGCCGCAGACAAACGTGATAAACTGTTGTACGTTACACA